AAAACTAAAGATTAAAAAAAAAGAGGGAATTTTGCTTGGCATGATTTTGGAGGCCTAGCTCACGTTCTTCATTGCTCCTTCCACATTTGGGTCTCATCATTTTGATTAGAGTAGTGTTACCAGTCCCTGCCACTCTTCTTTGTACACATTAGAGCTGCGATAAACACAGATTTAACTATCAAAGTGAATTAACAAGGCCGTTGTTGGAAGTCATTCAACTGCATTTAGTCTCATTGTCACAGATATCACCTTGAAACTGGGAAAACTATGTAATAAGTGTTTCCCATCTTGATTCCAGTCGAATAAAGAAAGAAAAATGGGAATAATAGGGAGGATTCACACAGATGCATAACTAATATTAGGAAAGATCAGGCCATCGGTTTCTCTATAATAGTAAAGTCAGGATGCTGTGTTGGTTGAGTGTAGGTGTTAGAACCACACAAACTTGGGTTTGAGCCCTGACTCTGCCACATAACAATGTGACTTTAGACAACTCCCTTTACCGTAGCTAGGCCTTACTGTCCTATCAGTAAAATGAAGGAAACCTATTTAATGGAGGACAGTAGTAGGATTTAAATGCGATAATGCATGGGAAGGCCCTGCTACAGGACCTGGCACAAAGTAAGCCCTCAGTAACTTTAGCTGGATTTGTTGTTATTGCTGTAATTGTCAAGAGTGTTGTTTTGAAAAATGTAATTCTTTTCAACTTTAGATGGTATCAGGTAATTTGGTGACATCAGATAATATAAATGAGATCAGTCTTTTTTTCCTGGTATCAGAAACAATAGAGTATTTTTTAAATTTCTATAACTTCACACATCAACATTTAGGAGAAGAAGAGATACAGTTTATGTCTTTGTAATGTACAAACTGACCACAGGCAAGCTTACAGGTTCTTTTTCTCTATATAGAGGTTAAGAACAGCATCCTGACCTGTAAGTACAAGATCTTTTATGCTAATTGGTTTCTGGAATTCATTAAGACTTTTCTAGGGAGATATTTGATCACATAGGTAAAGAACTATCTTTTCATAGTGGGATTTCTGGTGATACTGACTTCTAAAATTTTTTTACAAATGTAAGAAATTCCTAATGAATTGAACTGATGTCTGAGAGGCATTGATAGACACATTCTCTGATGTCTCTCTTGTGGCCACGTAGGTGAGACCGGCATCGGCAAATCCACGTTAATGGACACTTTATTCAACACCAAATTTGAAAGTGACCCAGCTACTCACAATGAACCAGGTGTCCGGTTAAAAGCCAGAAGTTATGAGCTTCAGGAAAGCAATGTACGGCTGAAGTTAACCATCGTTGACACTGTGGGATTTGGAGACCAGATAAACAAAGATGACAGGTACGTTTTGGGATTTTGTGGGGATATAAATGGATCAGGAGATAGCAGGACTTGTCCTGGGTAAATTCAAAGGCTAAAAATGTTCACTAATTATGGGGCTGATTTTCTGTTGCCTAAAAGATAAGACATTCTTTTCCTCTGAGAAGTTTTCTTAGAATGTTCTTCCCCGAGGTCAGAATGAGACAACACAGTTGATTCTAGCTCGTGTAAGGAAAAAAGGAATTTCTTAGGAATACATTAGCTTATGGCATTTTTCCAGCAGGGTCATGGAACTAGATTTGGGACCTTTCCCAGCAGGAAAAGCAATCTAGAGAAACACTCAATGACCCAACAGGACAGTTAGCAGAAACCCCTGCCACTGGTCACCTGCCACTGGTACCCATAATGCTGAGGGGAGGTGTTTAGAACCTCCACCAGTTCTGTCCTAGAGTTGGGACAGTGTTACAGGATGATTTTTATTGCCTTCCCCATCCCTTGCAAGGAGAACAATGGTGGCCTCTGCTGTGTGTTCCTCACTCCCTGCTTCTGGGTCTTGTGTGGCTGCATCTATATGGTAGAAACTAAACCACATCTAGAATACTAGCTGCAAGAATCTGGGAAATGCGTTGTTTTTGTTTTGTTTGTTTGTTTTGCAACTCTGCAAAATAAGAAGGCATTAAAGAATCAGGAATTCAAAAATGCATCTGCCAAACTCTCCTAGTCCCTGAGGCACATTGGGATTTTGACTTAACCCCCAAATTCTTACAGATTTTGAATGAAAACAGAGCTGATGAGATTCTGCCAAAGAATCCACAGCTCAGGATTTAGGCGACCTGGGTTAGAGCCTGGATTCTGAGATTGACAGGTTATGGGACCTTGACAATTTATCTCACTTTAAGAGAATGTCACCAGACGATCGCTGAGGTCTCTTCCCGTGTGATCCTGTATTCAGTCCTATTCTTAGGCAGAGGCCTAAGGAAGGACACTGTGAAAGGCAAGGCCTGGAAGAGGGGTATGGTAATAATAGGGGGGTATTCCCGTATTTTGATGTCTTTGGTCAAAGTGGTATTAGCTCCTAAAACCTTAAAGTGAAGAAAGCATTTTTATGGAAGATCTGTTGGAAAAATCTTGATTTCCAGCTGGCACAGATCTTGCTATTGATGTGAGTGCTTGGTGTGAGGCACTGAGTCTTCTGTGAAGTGTCTGGGTCTTTCTGTAGGCTGCTAAAGGGGTGGGCAGCATGCCTGGTGCAGAATTGTCAAATCGAGTCTGAGTAATGATTGTGGATTCAGTCAAGCCTAATGGGGAATTGAGGTCAGCTGGATTAAACTTTCCCTTTCTATCCAGTGGAGTTTGTTAAGCTAATAAAGTAATGTATACAATAATCCATATATGTGGAAGAAAAGATGTGTTTAAGCTGCTTAAGAAATAAAATACTTTCTAAGAATTTTGTTCCAATGGTTTGTGTGTAGATAGAGGTTACTACCTGGTAAATCAATCTTATGTATTCATTCATTAAAACTGGTTCACATAAACTTGAAGGTATAATTATAATACAGTAAGGTTTTATTTTTATTTTTAGAAAACACATACTCAATTTATAAAGCCAAGTAAGTTTGACTCTGCTCTCTGAGTTGCTATATGCCTTTATTGAGAGAAGCTATTAATCTTAAAACTTCCTGGTGCTCAACCCATAGGTTAACCTCAGTCCCAAAATATTGTTCACACTCCTCGAGATCATCCATCCTATTCATCATTCTCAACATCAAGTGTCTTAGGACTATTTTGAATACTGTATTCATTTTCAAAAGAAGTCAGAGAAAGTTAAAATTTTCCCAGGCCCAAAGATGATTCTAGAAGGAGGCCTCCAGAGACATTTTCGTGCAGTGACAACATTAAGGGAGTAAAACACCACATCAATAAGTTATGTTTGCTTAGGGCTCGGAAATTTTATTAGTACCAGGGATTTTTCTTTAAAAATTTTTTTTCTCCAAAATGGTATGTATTATATGTATGTGTTTTGTAAAGAGGAACTTGAACTATTTTTTTAATCTAGAATGTGTGTGTATTGCCTAGAGATATTTTAAGTATCCCTGATGTATACGGGCACCATAGTAATTAGGAAGAAATATTTAATTCATTCTCTAGCTGAGCACTGAGCTCTATTTTATCTATAGAGCAATTTAGATGCTCTTCAATAAACATTGTCCTGTAATAACAGGAGCAATTGTTACATGTAGTGAGAAGGATTTTATTTTGCATCTGGTCAAAGTGAACTATCTGTACATTGTGCGGGGTGGGGACAGCTAAGCTCAGACCCTGCAGCTGGGCTATTGCTCTTCATTTATGACCTCAATGCCAAGGAATGATGGAGAGGTTACTGCCTGAAGGCTGATTGTGATGCCAAGTGAAATAGATGAGGGGAAAGCCTTGGAACAAGAAAAAGAGCACAGGTGCATTGTGGGAGCTGGGGAGAGAGCCAGGGTTCCTGGTCATTGGGCAATCACAGTGTACTCAGAGCAAGATGTATCTCCATCTCTCCGACCCACACAGGTTTCTCTCTGGGGTTAGAGAATGTTATGTTTGCGCGCTCTGATTGGAAGGCAGTAACTGGACCTTCAGGGTCCCTTCCTGCAGGAATGAGAACATCTGCCAGCATCTTGCTGCTAAGATTCCATGTGCTCTTCCCTCTCAGGCTCATTGCCTCAGTGTTGCCACTGAATTGCCTGTCCCCTAAGTGGGGATTTTCCTTTAGCCTGGTGGATTTTCACTGGCCAGCACTGAATAGCCAAGTGGCTACTACAATACCAATTCTCATATTTGCAGCTGGAGGTCCCTTTAAGAAATTATCTGACTCATTTGGGTCAAATAATAGTTTCCAAGGAGATTTAGAAGAGAGGAAGTGTGATATTAACCTAACCTAGATACCAAATTTTTTTTTTCTTCTGAAATTTCTTGACAGCTGTTGCATAACCTCTTTAAATGGCATTTAGAACTCTGTGCCCCAGAAGGCATTGTTGACACTGTTGACTCCAAACCCAAGTGACTATTGTCTTAAAAAAAAATTTTTTTTTTTGGACAATCTGATTCCATAAAAGAATTGGATGTGAGGTATGCATTTTTGCATTGATATGTAATCATATGGGAAGCAATATACCGTTTCTATAAACCCATGATTATTTTTACTACTTTGGGGATGAGGCAAGCTTTTCTGCCATGAATGCAGGACTTCAAGAATGTCCCAGCTTGTTTATATAGGCTTCAGTCATGTCAGCATGCATTCCTGCATGAGTATCTGCCTGGGACTGAGCTAGCTAGAAGGGGGCAGGAAGAGAGATCTGGTAAGGTTTCCTGTTATGTTTAATAGCATGATTAACTCTTCATGGTTTAAGGGCTTCCTTGTTTTGCTGTCTGTACTTTCCAGTGAAGAAGCAAAGAGGTCTGGAGAAGGAAAACCAAGTTTTGTCATAGAACTGGAAATAGAATAATTCATTTGCCCAACATTTGGGAGATGGGAGCTAGAATATCAATGGCATATTGCTAACTGTGATGATTATTAGCCTTGAAAATCATGGATAATTGAACTCCTCAAACTCACCAAATCTTTATATCAGAGTTATAAAATGGTAGTGAAGTGGACCATTTGGTCTTTAATTTCTGTTTTTACCACCTTTCTGATGGGGAGGTAGTTGAGAGATGAGGAAAACTAACTTTCACTAACAGCAAGATAGAGAAAAATATATGAATGGTAGGTATCTGGCCGTATGTAAAATGGAGAGTCACTCTCTGAACAATGCCATTGGTTCTTTTGGAAGAATGGTCAGTGGGTAACTTGGGTGGATAGAAAACATTGCATAAAATATTTCTCCCATCAGTTTTAGGTCAACCTCTGTATTTTGTTGTGAATTCTGTGGCTGGAGGTATATGAAAAGAAATGAGTTGTGGGTAAAAAGGACCATCCCCATGACTGAAAAGGAAATGATGTGAGAATGTAAACACTGCATATGATTTGCCGTCCTTCACTTTCCCCTGCTTTGTGTGGCTGAAACCCAGAGAAGTTAGAATTGGCCAAACAAAAACCAGATGGGTGTCTTTCTATAAAATGGAAACTATCAAAAGGCAAAATTGGGATTAAGCCTCCTTATCTTTATGACTGGATGTAGATAAGAAGTGGAAAGGAGTAGAAGAGGGGCAGGTAATTTGTTTAAAGGATTGTGAAGGGGAATACAAAACCACTGGCTGACTTAAACACAGGGAATAATGATTTTGGTAAATAGTTTTCCTGGAATACGTTTCTTTAATTTGTTTATAATAGTTGGAAGGTAAAATTGGTGGAATTTCACGCTGGATTGTGTGGAGGAAGTAGAAGAGGAGGTCTCTGATTGGTATGGATGGAGGTGCCATTCGCCAAGCGAAGGAAAACAGAGAGATGGTTTGGGGGCAAGATGAAGAGTCCCATCCTGGACACATTTAGAAGAGCCAATGCAGATATCTTGTAAGCAGTTGTATGGATGGGGCTGAAACTTGGGTGGATGATCTGGGCTACAAGCAGAAATTTGTGATTTATCATCACTTAGATGGTAAGTAGAACACAGGAATAAATGGAATTTTCTAGGGAGATCACATAAAGGGAAAAAACAGAGATTGGATGATTGGCCAGAACTCCCTGACAGGGGAAGGCAGAAGGAATTCAAGGTATAAGAGGAGAACAAAAAGTTTCTTCGGGTATATTGAATCTAGGGCAGAAAACATGCCTCACTGGAAAAGGAGAGATGTTATACCTCCTATAATCTTGGAGGATTAGAAACAACACCAGAGGCAACAGGGAAATTAACAGAAAGCAGAAACCTATGTGGACCACTGCTGGGAGGAGGTGCTGAGAAGCTAAAAATCAGGAACTAGTGAGGCAGGAAGGAGCAATTGCTTGTGAGTTGCTTTTCCTTTCCTTTCCTAAGAGGGTGCTGGAGAGAGAGCCTGGTTCCCCAAACACATGCCTCAGTGTCAGGAGACTGGAAGATCAGGCTCTCGGCTGGCATGGGTGAACCTCGGTGGCGTGGCCCAGTCCACTTCCCTACAGGGCATGAGCACAGTAGCAGGATGGTTACCATGGAACTGAGTGAGTGGAAGGTTCCTCCCTGCCACCCCCAACTTTCTCAAAAGTCAAGCTTGCTTTTCTCTTAGTTGTTGCTTTTTGAAAATTATTATTACTATGAAATAGTTGTATCTTTTATGTGCTAGGCCTTTACATATGTTAGCTCACACATTTGTCACAGTAGCTCTCTGATATAGGTACCTTTTTTCCTTGAGTTACTTATGAGGAAATGGAGACAGAGAGGTTTAGGAACTTGCCCAAAGTTACATATCCTGTAAGTTGTGGGGTTGGAGTCCATCTGTCTTGAATCCATGCTTCTAACCACTGTTGCTTCAGAATACCCGCTTGTATTTTGAAAGTGGAAAACATAGAAGAAACTTCTCACTTGTTCCTTCTTTCTATTGGAATTTATTGGGATTTCTTTTGTCCTATTTACTTACTGGTGTATCCTACTTTTTCTTTTAACCGCTAGAGTTTTTGTCTGCTCAGATTGAATCAGTGGATTGTAATGAATGACCAAAGAAAAATATCAAAAACCGTTTTCTGAGTGCTTTTGGTTTTTGGTTATAAATGTGTTTTTTGTTTTGTTTGTGTTTTCTCTTAAGAGTGTGTGCTGTCATCCTTATTTCAAAGATTTGTTGTTCTCTTAAGGATTTCAGTTTAATATATGGTTGGGGGAGCAAAGTGTTGAAAGGTTTTTATTTTTCTTAAAGTGTAAGTCATTCCTCAGCAAGGTAATAGGTTTGGGGAGAATTAACCCATTGTGTTCCTAGTAACCCAATCTCACTGGTTTCTCCTGAGCAGGTCCCTGGAAACCTGAAAGTTTATAGCTTTTCCACAGCAACCTACCTAATGTACTGCTTAGTCCTTGGAGAACATATGGTTTATTGAATGCTTTTTTCCAATATGTTATTAATGATGATGGTCTGCTAATAGAATCCTACATAATTAATTATTCAAAACAAATTTGAATTATGATTTGGTGAGAAGAAAGGGATATAGAGTTTACATTCAAATCATAAAATTTCAGAGTTGGAAATAATCTTGAAGCCTATAATGGCCCAGGAGCACTGGGCTAGATGAGAGCACAGAGGGGCCCTCATCTCTGGAGGAATGGGACAGAGCATGGGGGCAGAGCTCCCACTAGGTTATGCCATAGCCTGAAATCAAAAACCACTTTCCTTTTGTGCGCCAAAGCCAATCAGTTGGTAGAGGCTGTCAAAATCACTTTACTGAGACAGATTTTGAGACTTCCATTTTGGCCCAGCAGGAAAGAATGCCACAATGTCTTAGTAATGTCTTCCATGGGAAGTGACAGCATGGTTCACATATTTATAATCTCTGCTTTAAAGGATGAATGTTAGCCAGGGGAATACTAGGAAGGAGACTGTTCCGGGTAGGGGGTTAGCATGAACCAGGTCATGAAGGCAGCTGTGTGTGATGACTGGGACAGAAATGGTGAGCCAGGGAGGAAGTGGGAGAGAGGAGCTGGAGAGATGTTCAGGGACCAGATGATGGAAGGCCTGGGGTGCCCAGGTAAGGAACTGGGACTTCAGCTCTTAGGAGAGGGAACCATTGAAGACTTGACTGCCTGCATGGAGCTGCACAAGAGGTTGAAGGCTAGAAATATGCTGATTTGAAGATGTGTTTAAAAAAAAAAAAAAAAATTCTTCTGCATTCTAGCTATAAGCCAATAGTGGAATATATTGATGCTCAATTTGAAGCCTACTTACAAGAGGAATTGAAGATCAAACGTTCTCTCTTCAACTACCACGACACCAGGATCCACGCATGCCTCTACTTCATTGCCCCTACTGGCCATTCACTGAAGTCTCTGGACCTAGTCACCATGAAAAAGCTGGACAGCAAGGTACTCACTGACACTTTGGTGACTATCCACTCGCCTTTTGGATCACCTTTATCTGAAGGCCCTGATTTATTTCCTTCTTTTAATGTAATTGGAGTTGTTTTGTTTTACAAGACAGTTTATTGTAGCAGTTTTAGGTTCACAGCAAAATTAAGAGGAAGGTACAGAGACGCATGTATACCCCTGCCCCACATCAGCACCCCCACCCGATGGGTCCCATTGATGGGTTGTTACAGTCAACGCATCTGTGTTGACACACCATAATCACCCAAAGTCTGTTATTTACATTAGGGTTCACTTTTATTGTTGCACAGCCTGTGGGCTTGGACAAACCTACAAAGACCTGTATCGTGGAGGCATACAGAGTAGTTTTCCTGCCCCCAAACTCCTCTGTGCTCTTGCCTATTCATCCCTCCCCCTTCCTCCAACCCCATAATTGTCTTTTCTGGTTTACAGAACAATAGGGTTTAGCAATGTGAGAAAAATGCTTCAAAACCTCTGGATGTTAGGCTAAACAAAATAAAACAAACAAATAAAACCATCGAGCTCTTTACCAAGTATTTTTAGTTCTTAAATTAGCACCAGCGGATGCTCTGATGAAGGTTGGGGAATTATATAGCGGAGACATCTAAATGGTCATAGGAAGGGTTAAATTTAGGGAGATTGAAATATAAAGTCACAAATTGTTTACTTTCCTAAAACCTTCTCTAAATTTCTGTTTTAAAGGTTTGGCTTTAATATGAAGTTTTGAGTGAAAAAAAAAAAGGTGTTAATTTTTTTCCTTATGTGATAAGGACAGTCCAGCTTCTTAGATTTAAAACTGAATTGCACCCAAATGTTTTTAAAAAGTGGTTTCAGTTTGACACCTGGGCTTTCCACATTAATAAACTCTTCCTTTTACAACATTTGAAGAAAGGTACTGATAAGTTTGATAACATTAAGTGATGTACTTTACAATTAATTTGATTTTTCATTTTGAAATAAATGGAAGGCAGTATATTCTGAATTGAAGAAGCAAATGAAAAGGAAAACAGCCAGAAAAAGAAGCTGTGGTATTTTTTTTAACTTTCCTTGGAGTTCCATAAAAAGTTGTATCATCTTTAGGGGGTTTGTTGGGTGTTATTTTTTTGTCCAAACAATGGTGTTTGAAAGATGCTTTCTCTCCAGAGGAACGTAATGGAGGGCAGTCAGATGACCAGCTGTCCCCGAGGCCTCTGGCTGAACTGGCCGCCAAATGGGCTGCAGTGGCTGACACAGGGCCAGGTTCCTTGGGCTTCCAGCATGCACAGACACCTTGGTTTACAGAAAAATGGTCTAGTGATGTGAAGGGACTATTGCAGCTGGAGGACTCTCGGGAGAATAAATAGAATCCTTTTCATGGATTTGTGTCCGCAACAGTGAGCCACGGGCAGGCAGGCAGTTGAGGGCTCTGGGCCGTGAGGCTGGCTCCCCAGGCTGCCGTGTCCCTGGTAACAGGGCTGGGGAGGGGCAGAGATGGAGGTGGTGTCCTAACTGAGGCCATGTTTGTGGACCAAGCCCGGCAAATATTCAACAAAGGGTTATGCTTAGTAGGGCTGGTTTAAAAAGGGAAAGAAAATAAGGCAAATGAACACAGCTGGAAAAAAAAGTCCCTGAAAACAGGTTAAACTGCTTTTAAAGAACCGATACTGCTGTAGAGATGGAGGGCTGGAGAGCATCTGAAAGTGGTATTTGCAAAGGTTGTTTATACAAGTGAAGTGAAGAGTTCAGGTGCTTAAGTATATATATCATAAACATATAATTTCAGAAATGATTTTCAAGCACCTGCCACTGAGGAAAAAGAGGTTTTAAATCTCAATTGCCTGTGGCGTCTATCTACTCTGATCAAACTGGTCAAGAAAGTATGAACCTCTGCCATTTTGTCTGTGTAATAGTCACTGAATACTAAACATGTACAGAAGATAACCAACAAGAACAACGGGGAAGTGTTCTGTTTCTTGGGCTCTGACCCAGACATATCCCCACCATTAGTGTTTCTCTTGCTGGATGAGTCCAAGCATGATGAGGTAGGAGTGGGTGGAGGAATAGGTGAAGAATATGTTATTCTATCCACACGTCTTCTCATTGTGGTGTATCAGGGGTTTTGATTCGGCTCTTGGAATAAAAGAAGCAAAGGAATGCAGACATGGCCAAGAAAACCTCCCTAAGGACTCCCTCATCTCTTGCTAGTGTGGCTTTCTCACTGAGTCTGTCCCCCTTTCCCCTGAGCTGGGAGAGCATGGCCCCAGGTGTCAGATGTCAGTTGTGTCTTACTGAAACCTCTGTGGCTACCAGGGAGTGGAAGAAAGTTAATCTTAAAAAACGAATTTTTAAAAATGTGCTGTGTGGGCAGTGCTGGGCAAAGTTGGGAGAATGACCCACTTTGGGGTTTGAGGCTTGGGCTTGAGGGTGTCCTCAGCTCTCACCCTGGGCTTTCTGCCACTGTTTTCAAACTCTGCCTTCTCCCTGGTCTCTGTAGTCAATGCTCTGAAAGCGAGCCTTTGCCGCTAGGTTTCATTCTGACATGAAGAAGTAATGTGCTAGAAGCTGGTGTTTCAAAAGAATTAATTGGTGTGATTTTGAAAACTTTAAAAGTAGGTGAAGCCGTCTTTGTTCTGGTTAATACGTAGGTTCTCTACCCCTAGTAGTCATTAGAAAAAAAGAGAGGGTGTTATCCTGCATAGAGATGAATATTCCACTATTCTAACACAGTCTTTGCTCTGCGCTGTGAGGAACATGCAAAAATCAAGCTTTTAAAATAGCTGGGAGGGGTCTAAAAGGAGTGGTTGGTTATTCAAAGAATAGGCTTCTTTGTTATTGCTATTTGTCATAGAGTAACACTTCCTTCTACTCTGTTAAAAAAAAAAAAAAATGAGGTAGCACAGAAGAGGAAATTACAAGTATGCTGTCAGTGCCGGATGAGAGGAAGTAAAAGTGTTCACAGATGGAGCTTAAAGATTATCCATGTCTTCTTAATTTTCCCTCTGGGCACAAAGCCTTATTTTCAATATCTATTTTTTAAGTGAAGCTTTACAACTTTTGTTATGTTTCATTCATTTGTCTTATTTTTCTTATATTGGAATTGTGTAAAAATGGGTATGTTTGTTTTATAGGTGAACATCATTCCAATAATTGCAAAAGCTGACACGATTGCCAAAAATGAATTGCACAAATTCAAGAGTAAGATCATGAGTGAACTAGTCAGCAATGGAGTCCAGATATATCAGTTCCCCACAGATGAAGAAACGGTGGCAGAGATTAATGCAACAATGAGTGTAAGTCCTCAAGTTAGGAAGAACCTACCAGAAATTGTCCTGAAAGCTTTTCTTGGTAGCAGCATTGTAGAGTGACTGGAGCACTGGGCCAGGAATCGGATTCTTTAGCGTTGCCCAGCTCTGCCACTATGGCAAGTCATTTAACCACCCTACTCCTCAGGGTATCCATCTATCAAATGGGAAAGTTAGACAAGCCTATCTCCAGTTTCCTTCCTGCTCCAACAGGCAGAGTTTCTACAGCAGACCTCTTGGGAATGCCAGCCCAGCACCATCTCACACAAAGCAGCTTAAAGGAAATAGATCTCTGCTTGTTTCTGCCATTGTTGGCAGAAATATCTCCACCTGCCTTCCTTTTGCTTCTGTGATGGGTTGCTGCCTTTCGCTCCATTCTGTTTCCCCTACTCTTTCCTGAATCATTAGGTTAATTGGCAGTTGAGGGTAGAATTTCTCCATGTCACAGGCAGAGAACAAGAGAGAACTGAGTAAAGCTTTAGCAATTCTAAGTGCACCTGTGATATGATGTCCGTGTCCTCTATGCTATCTGCTGATGCCCGAATCTTTCTCACTGCCTCTTTGTGTATCTCACAAAGAGATACATGGCTCATCTCTGGGCCACAATTCCTATACTTTTTTTTTCCATTTGGGAATGCATAACTTGTGTAAAACTAGCATCCTTTGCACATAGTAGATGACCAATGATGGCTTTTGGGATTCTTAAAATTGTAGGTTAGCTTCTGTGAAATATAATTAGAAGCTATTAAATAAGTTGCCTTCCCCTGAATATGTGCTAAAAATTGATTCAAAAGTATGCTGGTGGCAGCAGAAGTCAGTGTACATTTTTAAATTGTGGTAGGTTGAGTTGTGTTCTACTTTCCTTAGATCTGATCATGAAAAGTGTCTAATGAAGTCATTATTAAATTGCCCTGAAGACACTCTTTTTAACAGCCATATTGAGATATAATTGATATACTGTACAAGTTACCCGTTTAAAGCATACAATTCAGTGGTTTTTAGTATATTCACAGAGTTGTGCAACCATTGCCACCGCCAATTTTAGAACCTTTTCATCACCTGAAAAAGAAATCATGTTCCTTTTAGTTGTCAACCCTCTAACCATCCCAGCCCTAGACAACTACTACTCTACTTTCTTGTCTCTTCTGGACATTTGCCTATTCTGGACATTTCATATAAAGGGACTCAGACTGAAGCTCATCTAGAGAATTAAATGGCTTGGTCAAAGCAGCACTAAGATTTCAACCCTGATACCAGTTTTGTGTTGTTTGCTATCATAATTTAGGAGAACAGAGATATTTCACAAAACTCCTTCTTGTTTCTTCAGTTCAGCATATGGACTTTTCTATATAGCACTGTTATCATTTATGGAGGAATATTTTCCTTAAATTATTCCCAATATGACTAGGACTTTGGAAGCAAATGTAACTTCTCCCTTCTCTGGGGCTGTTTGTATGAATTGAAAATTTAAGGGCCCATTAGAGCAGAGATTGTCCATTCTCCACTTTGCTCTAGTGTGGTCACACTCGGAGTTGTGTGACCTACTCTGGTTGTCTTGCTCCTGTGGCCAGGATCGTGAAGACTCTGGAATTTGTGAAAACTGGGGAGCAGATTCTTCCTGGGAGGATGGCCGGAGGGGGTACGAAAGGAAGGTCATCATGACGGAGGGTAACTGTTCTCATTCAAAAGACAGAACTGAAGGGTAGTGAGGGGTTTGGGCCCAGCGAGAAATGAACATTTGGCCATCGGTGCCACCGCAGCACAGCAAGCACCCTGTGGAAGGAGTGAGTTCCCATCACAAGGTGGTGGACAACAGATTCCGTATCTCAACTCATTTAGATACTGTAGAGGCAGGATCGAAATGGATAATATGTGAGGTCTCTCCCACATCTAAAATTCTCTGGCTATGGGTACTGAGTTTCATAGCCATCATAGCACCAGACACTTTTTACATTTATGGAGGATTTACTGTGCATCAGCCACCGTGAGAGGTTTTATTTACATCTAATCCTCACACCAGTCCCATAGGTAGGCACTATTATTATCCCTAATTCGCATATGAGGAAACTGCAGCCTGGCATGGTCCAGCCATCGGTCGTGCAGGGAGGATTTGAACGCAGGCAGCTCAGCTCCAGTGCCAGCAGAGCAGTGTGCCTGTTTTACAGCATCATTAGAGCCCAGGCTGAGATAGCGCTGGTTTATTCTGCTGTAGAACTTCAGTTTGGGGTTCTTCTGCTATAGAACTTCAGCGTAGGATTCAATAAATGACATGAGTGAATATTGTCTAATGTTCTCTTTATATCTCTCCCCTTCCTTTTAAATTATTTTGGGTGCTCATGAAACTACATTTGTGTTAAATTTCTTGGAAAGAAACTACCCGTGGGGATGCCTGGGTGGCTCATTCGGTTAAACATCCGACTTTGGCTCAGGTCATGTTCTCGTAGTTACTGGGCTTGAGCCCCGCATCGGGCTCTGTGCTGATAGCTCGGAGCCTGGAGCCTGCTTCAGATTCTGTGTCTCCCTCTCTTTCTGCCCCTCGCCCACTCACTCAATCTCTCTCTCTCTCTCTCTCTCTCTCTCAAAAATAAACATTAGAAAAAAGACCCATGAATCTTGGCTCTTTGTCTCTTTATCAGATTAATCAAACTGATAGTCCGAAATTAATCTTGTTCTTTAACAAGATTTTTTTTTTAAGTCTCTTCCTTGCCAATAATTCCTGGTGATGAAATCCCATATGATATGTGGAAAACAGATTTCACTGGCAGTTGCTTTTGTCACTCAGTGTGAGCGTAGAAAACTCTTTCCTTGGTCATTATGGCAGAATGGTGGCCAGCGGGGCCCTGTTGCTCCTCAACTTCAGGGGACACATTACAGTTCCAGACTTGGAGTCTGTGAAAGGAATGTGCTTTCTTTCCTTCCTATAGAGTATGAGATGAACCAGAGAATTTAAGTATCTTGAGCAGCGAATGAAGTACCACCTGGGCATCCTGGGCTGAGGGTTATGTCCTCTGTGGGAGAGGATTTGGCTGTAGGACATTCTCATCTTTCTCAACTTGCCTACAGTAGAAGAGCAGTGGATCAAGGAACTGAAATAATAATTCTCAGAACAACCATTTCAGATCTTCTTATTCTTACATTTTAATAGAAAAAAAGATGGAATTACTGTCCCCACCACCCGCACTCCCAGAATGTAGCCATAGCTACCAAATAAAGCAACGTGAAATAGTCAGTTGTTTTGAACACCACCTCTGCTTGGTAGAAGTCTGGGTTGCAAAGCTTGGGCCAATAATTTGGGCTAAAATGTAGTTCTGATTTGAATTTTGTGCAATGGCCAACTGTAAAGCAATGCTGTTAGAAATATAATATGAACCACACAAACAATTTAACATTTCCCAGTAGTCACATTAAAAAAAGTAAAAAGAAATGTGAAATTAATTAAAAACGTATTTAACTGAATATATTTAAAATATTATTTCAAGGGGCGCCTGGGTGGCTCAGTCGGTTAAGTGTCCGACTTCAGCTTGGGTCACGATCTCCCGGTCTGTGAGTTCGAGTTCCGCGTCAGGCTCTGGGCTGATGGCTCAGAGCCTGGGGCCTGCTTCCAATTCTGTGTCTCCCTCTCTCTCTGACCTTCCCCCGTTCATGCTCTGTCTCTCTCTGTCTCAAAAATAAATAAATGTTAAAAAAATAAAATAAAATATTATTTCAATATGCAATCAATATAAAAATTAATGAGATATTTTCATAGTAAGTCTTTGAAATCCGATGTATATTTTACAGTTACAGCATATCCCAATTTGGAAGCATACCCAAATTACTCCTAACACACTTGAAAATTTTTCAACATGAAATAAGTACCAAAAAGATAATTTTCCTCTAATGTTTGCATCCACATTGAGTAAACTAGTTTTTTAGTTTTTTTTGTTTGTTTTTTTTTTTTAGAAAATTTAAGTTTAAAGCAAAATGAAGTGCAGTCCCAAAACAATACAGTTTTATTTCACGGAAAAATATTTTGTTATATTTTTAAGTTCAAAGGTAAAATAATTAAAAGTAAATAAAAGTGGGACATCTGCGTGGCTCAGTTGGTTAAGCCCCCAACTCTTAATTTCAGCTTAGGTCATGATCTCTTGGTTTGAGAGTTCGAGCCTCACATGGGGCTCTGCTGTCAGGGCCTGCTTGGGATTCTCCCTCCCTCTCTCTCTGCCCTTCCCCTACTTGCGCTGTCTCTGTCTCTCTCAAAATAACTGTACTTAAAAAAACAGGAAAAGAAAAACAAGTATATAAAACTAAAATTCAGTTTCTTGATCCTGTAAGCCCTGTTTCTGATGCTCAGTGGCCACATATATTAGCGGCTACAGTCTTGGACAACATGTGTCAGAAGCTTCCTGTGTGGTTGCAAAGACACCTACGGTTTCCTTTGAATCTAGCTCATACCACATAATTAATATTTGGTCATAGGAGGGGTGGGGTACACGAAGCCCACCTCTGCTGACCTGCAGAGCTTCCTCCCTCTTCTACCCACCCTCCCCTTTGTCTCCCCCTCACTAAGTGAGGCTGGCAGAAGGGGCAGAGCCTAGGCAAGGTGGAGAACCAGCCTGGGCAAGACCTGGAGAAGGTAACAACTCTGTCCTTGTGTTGCTTCTCAGGTCCATCTCCCGTTTGCTGTGGTCGGCAGCACTGAAGAGGTGAAGATCGGCAACAAGATGGCGAAGGCCAGGCAGTACCCCTGGGGTGTGGTGCAGGGTATGTGCACATTAGGGGGAAGGGGGTCTCCACATTTAACTCCTGTGGTGACTCGCTTCTTCTCTCTCTGCCCTGTTTGGGGAGGTTTTGGGGGAGGTCCTCAACCAAAGGCAGGACGAAGGGAGGGTTGTACACATGGCAGTTGTGAAGTGAGGAAGCAAGACCCTGTGACCAAGTAGGTAGATGGTGGGGAGAAGTGACCACAGTGCCCTACTTCCGGTGAGGCAGCCCCTCAAGAATATTGGCTTATGTGGCAAATTGAGTACAAATTCCTGGTAGAAAAGAGCTCTTCCCTAGAAGTTTCAACAACTTTCATACCAGTTTCATCAGCAAAGTATAGTAAGAAAGCTGCAAAAGGTTTCTTGTAAACAAGAAGTTACTTGTTTCTCCATTATCTCTGGAAAACCTGTCTTCCAATTAAATGTTATCTCAGTGGATATCTGAGAATTATGACCTATTTGGTGCTGGGAGACATGATCATAGTCTCTGACCTGAAGAAGCTTCCCATATGTCACTTTGATAGGCAAGGACCCTATTTTCCTGCCTTTGTGTGTTTTGAGGGAGGACATCTGATGCTATAGGTTAAGTAGGATAGCTATAGAAAGTTTCTTCATTAGTTTAAGATCTATCAGTCCCCCTTTTCTTTTTTTCTGAATAAAGGCAATAAATCTGTGAAAAGGGAAAAGAAATTGTACCTTTCAGATCTCTAAGAAAATTACAATTTTTATGAATCTTACCTATTTCTCTATAATAAAGCTTTTTTCATAGTGTTGATGAAATTAAGGGAAGTGGTATGTAGAACCTGCCTTGTATACTTCCAGGGGGCACGGAGTAGTGGAAATAGACCTGGCTTTGCAGCCAGATGTTGTGTTTGAACATAGACTCTGCTCCCAGTACTCAGGAAGTCAGCTTCCTTACCAAAGCCTTGCTTCTGCATCTACAAGACGAGAGTCACAATGCCTACTTGGCAGAATTGTTCTGAAGGATAAAGACAATATTTATAAAGTTCCTCTTGCAATGCCCTGCCCTGAGCAGACACTCTGCGATCACTGTGGTCATCAACATTATGGTCCACATTGTCGAAAATCTTGTCCTCGTTGGGAATGTAAGGCGAATCCAGTGAAGGGTCTTCACACAGCTTTGAGATTTCAGGAGCGATGGTGATAACTTTTTGAAAGTGTCACTTCAGATTTTTAGGGATGTCATTGCTGATAGCCGCTTCCACCTTCCCATCTCTTGCAGTTGAGAATGAAAACCACTGTGATTTTGTGAAACTTCGGGAGATGCTGATCCGCGTGAACATGGAAGATTTGCGAGAACAGACTCACACCCGCCATTATGAACTGTATCGGCGCTGTAAGCTTGAGGAGATGGGGTTCAAGGACACTGACCCTGACAGCAAGCCCTTCAGGTATGAGGGCACCTAGCAATCAGCTGTTTCCCAGACAGTGGCTTGAATGGTGTGTTGTTCCATCACCAAAATGCTTGTCAGATTGAGATAGCAGTGATTGAGGGACCTGGTGGGGACACGTTAGTAAGCATAATTGCCAGGCATTGCGATAACCACTTTATTGGTATTATCTCAACTAAGCGATGTAGATGATGTCATTGCCATCCTCATTTTACAGATGAGGAAACTAAGGCACTGAAAGTGTAAGCAACCTACCCAAGGTCCTACAAGTAGGAAGTGATGGAGTGAGTTTTGAACCCCTGCTCTTAATCATTATACTCACAGAGGCACAGAGCCTGGTCTAGGCATTTACAGAGGTGTGGCCGCTCAGTACAGTTTGCTCCGTTCGTTCATGGTTGCCAGCCAGGTTTCACTTCCCAGGACTCTTATCAGCTCTCTGTGTTTCAGTCCAATGCTAACAACTAATGAGGAAGAAAGGGAATAACTTGTAGAAAGTTTCTTGTGTGTTTTCCCACATCATCGATGGATGGAGATGAAGTGGCAAAATGTGAAGGGGGGAATTAATGCAGAATTAGCGGCCCAGCAAAGGCCCAGCTGCTGTCAGAACCTAGGCCGTGGGGGAGGGGCGGCAGGGGCTGAGTACGTTGGCCACAGAGTGGGGAGGGAAGGCAGGGCCACCAGGCCAGGTTTGCCACCTGTGGGCCCAGAAGAGGATTGCTTTGTCCAAACTGGGCCCACACTGGGTCTTAATGGAGATTTCAGTTGAGGTGATGTGAGGTGTGCCTGGGCATGATTAGGGGCTGCCGTTCCTTGGTCTTCTGCTGTCTCTGTTTTTGGCATTTAAATTAAAATACCTCCTGCAAGCGCAGGGTAACTGCCCACCAGAAGGAGGTGTTGCTGGGTAGGTCCAGCAGGGCTCTTGAAGGCCTGGCCAAGCTGGGTGCAGCCTCCTGCTCTGGCCTCGCTCACTTCAGGGACTTCAGGATGATGGCAGATGTTGTCCAGGCCTTTTGACTTGTAGAGGATATGCTTTATTCACACATCTTCCATGTCCCATTTGGTTCCATTTCTTCTGGCCTAAGGTTTCCGTTTTGTTTTGTTTTGTTTTGTTTTGTTTTGTTTTTACATCTCACTATATTTATTTTTTTTATTGAGGTCTAATTAACATACAGTATTATATTCGTTTCAGATGTACAACACAGTGATTCAGTAATTCTGTACCTTCCTCAGTGGTCACTGTCTGTCACCAAACAACATTATTACAATATCATTGATTATATTGCCCATGCTGTACTTGTCATCTCCATGACTTACTTATTGTATAACTGGAAGTCTGTACCTCTTAATCCTCTTTACCTATTACACCCATTCCCCTGATCCACCTCCCCTCTGGCAACCACCAGTTTGTTCTTTATATTTAAGGGTCTGGTTTTTGTTTGCTTGTTTGTTGCTTTGTTCGTTTATTATTATTATTATTATTATTATTATTATTATTATTTTAGATTCCACATATAAATGAAACCATATGGTATTTGTCTTTCTCTGCTCAACTTATTTCACTTAGCATAATATCCTCTGGGTCTATCCATGTTGTCACAAATAGCAATATCTCATTCTTTTTTTTTTTTTTTTTTTTAACGTTTTATTTATTTTTGAGACAGGGAGAGACAGAGCATGAACAGGGGAGGGTCAGAGAGAGGGAGACACAGAATCTGAAATAGGCTCCAGGCTCTGAGCTGTCAGTACAGAGCCCGACGCGGGGCTTGAACTCACGGACTGTGAGATCACGACCTGAGCCGAAGTCGGCCGCTTAACCGACTGAGCCACCCAGGTGCCCCTATCTCATTCTTTTTTTAAATAAGCGGAGCAATATTCCATTGTGTATACATGCCACATTTTCTTTATCCACCCATTTATTGGTGGGTGCTCAGGTTCCTTCCATATCTTGACTATTATAAATAATGCTGCAATAAACATAAAGTACACATATCTTTTCAAACTAATATTTTTATTTTCTTTAGGTAAATATTCAGTAGTAGAATTGCTAGATTATATGGTATTTCTATTTTTAATTTTTTGAAGAATCTCCATACCGTTCTCCACAGTGGTCGCACCGATTTACATTCCCACCAAAAGTGCATGAGGGTTCTCTTTTCTCCACGTCCTCACCACTGCTTATTATTTCTTGTCTTTTTGATATTAGCCATTTTGAAAAGCATAAGGTGATATCTCATTGTGATTTTGATTTGTATTTCCCTGATGATTAGTAATATTGAGCATCTTTTCATCTGTATGTCTGTATGTCTTCTTTGGAAAAATATCTATTCAGGTCCTCTGCCTTATCAGCTATTTCATTTGCAAATATTTTCTCCCGTTCAGTAGGTTACCTTGCCATTTTGTTGATTTCCTTTGCTGTGCAGAAGTTTTTTATTCTGATGCAGTCCAAATAGTTTACTTTTGCTTTTGTTTCCCTTGCCTGAGGAGACATATCTAGAAAGAAGAACAAAGCTGGAGGTATCGTAATCCCAGATTTCAAGATATACTACAAGCGTCTAGTAATTGAAACAGTTTGGTACTGGCACAAAGATAGACCCATAGATCAGTGGAACAGGGTAGAGATCACAGAAATAAACTCACCCTTCTGTGGTCAGAATCTGTGACAAAGGAGGCAAGAATATGCAATGGGGAAAAGATAGTCCCTTCAATAAACGGTGTTGGGAAAACTGGGCAGCTACATGCAAAAGAATGAAAGTGGACCACTTTTCACACCATGCATATAAATAAACTCAAAATGGATTAAAGGCCTAAATGTGAGCTCTGAAACCATAAAACTCCTGGAAGAGACCACAGGCAGTTTCTCTGACATTGGCAGTAGCAACATTTTATAGATGTCTCAGACTTTCCCTCTGAGGCATTTCCAGCATCCCTGGCACTTCTTGAGCCTGGGACCACACTGAAGGGGTGCAGTGAGGGGACCCTGCACGAAGGGCACCACAATTAAGGGGAAGCAAAAGCTGCTGCTGATTTGACTGGTTTCCCAAAATTTCATCTTCAAAGCCATCATTCCCAGATGCTCTTGGATTTTTTTCCATGTGAATTTTGGGTGAGCTGGGAAGAATATAAGTATATTCCCAAAGCAGAGGATTTTTTGTGGGTGTACAGTGAGGTCCATCCTTCCTTTGAGCACCCGGTATCCACTCTTTGTCCTCCAAGCTGCTCTTGTGTTTATAAAGCACAGAGTAATCTCTAAAGCCAAGGCTAGTAAGGGGCAGCCATCACCTGAATATATCGTACAGCAGGAAGCAAAACCAGGAGCTGGACAAACACAGTAAGAGGCTGTACGAAAGCCTTGGAAGTACGTTGGAGCCAGTAAAGCTAACTGAGTGTATTTCTGGTGGTATCCTTGACCTGCCTCAATTTAGAGTTGTGTCTTTGTTGTCCTGTGGCAGAATCTGTGTATCTGTCTGTCTACCTACCTACCCACATGTCAGCTTGCTTTCTCCTGTGCCCATCTTACCACCTGCTGCCCTGTGGTCTTCAGCCCAACCAGAGCAGCATGCATTCTCTGGACCCAGGTCCCTCTCCCTCAGACCTTGGCCCCTTCCGGCTGGCATCTGAAGATGCCAGAAGAGGGAAGAGGATGTAGGACACAATAGGGACTGGACTGATCCTGTTCCTGATTCTTTTCTCCTGAGACTCCTTTGTACTTTACCCCAACAGTCCCTGTCCAAACTGCCCATTCCTTATCTCAGAGTGCCCCCTTCCCCTGACTCTTGTCAGGTCACAAAAAGGGTTTAATTACCACTATTCTCTCAAGAGATCACAAAGTTTTCAGGTTCATGAGACCCATTTGTTTTGGGGAACATGCAGACCTCTGTGCAATGGAGTGCAGTGGATAGAGTTCCTGTCTGAGCTTGATGGCCTGGGTGCAAATCCCAGGTCTGTTACTCTTCACTGTGTGACCTGGACAGATTACTAAACACTTGTCTCCAAGTTTCTTCGTCTGTGAAGTGGGAGGTAGATAGTAATACCCACCTTATTGGGTGTGTAAGGATTAGTGAATTCTTGTGTGTAAATTGCTTCGTACCACTGGTGATGTGTTATTCTCCAGGATACCCTTCACTAGGTAGTTCCAGAAGATTGTAACAGAGAGAGAATTACACTGTGTGAATTACCAGAATGAAGTCTGAACTGAAGTACCTGTTCTCATTCTCCTTTCCCTTAAAAAGGGAGATCTATTCATTATCATAAACAAAAAACAGAGATTCCCCCCAAATTTTATAGCAGGGAGAGGTCATCTTCTGCCTTCAGCAGTTCTGATCTAAATACTGGTAATGAAGAGTTTATTAGATGCTAACAAGCAAAATCAAACCCATGAATTAGTTCTGTCAATACATTTCTATATCTCCATGGCTATATATCTTAAATCTCAAGTCTAAATATTGCTATTAGTATTAGCCAATGTCAACATTGGCCCAAAATGTTTTTGTTTCATAAGTGAAAGCTAAATATACCTCTGGAAACTCAAAGTGCTTGATTGTTCATTAACAGGTTAGTGTGGACACCCTTGAGGGTAGGAGAACTTATTTTTAATCAACCAATAAAAGTGTTGATTATAGAAGTATAAGCAATCCTATTGAAGACATTTTCTGACTGTTTGACTCCATGCATGCTTGCTCCTACTATCTGAATGTCCTTTTTCTCCTTCTGAAAGGACCAGTGTGGATGCTGGGAGGCAGCTCTGCATGGTCCCCAGGGTTATCCACAGGTTATCCACTCCAATTTGGAGTCAGCACTTAGGATGAATTCAGCCCACGGGTAGAGATGGATATTCTGCAGACTCGCATTACTGTAATGGGTGCTGTTCTAGGGAGACTGCAAGGGAGAACTAGAAACCGCACCTTATCAAATATCAGCACTTGTCTCTCTGTGTAGGTGTAGGTATGGGGGTGTGTTTTCTTAAGTTGTGTTACCAAAAGCAATTTTTCTGCCAATATATTTGTTCTGACTTAGAGGTAAAGCTGAATCTAGCATTCAATTTAAAATATTGGGCTCAACGTTCTGTAGAGAGTCAGGAGGAGGATGGGATTTAAGATAAAAATAAAACTCTTCCCTGCTCTACTTTCAATTGATAATATAACTTGAAAAGCAGCAATTTTCTATAATATGTTTAGATATACTATTGTCTCTAGATGGTTCACTGAGTCTGTTTTCTGAATTGGGGGCTGGAGGGAGGTGAGTGGGGAAGGGTAATATTTGCTAAGCACTGATGGTATATCGAATGCTTTACTCACTTTGCCCTCACTGAATCCCCATAATCCTATCTCTAGAAGGTAAATGCTGGTTTAGCTGCATCTTACACAGAGAACACGGAAGCATAGGGTCTGTGCCCATCCCAAGATCAGTCAGTAAGTTGCTGTGGCCAGAATCCAAACCCTGGTGTGTGTGGCTCCAGTGCCTTTGCACTCTCTCCCTACACTACTACCTTCATTTTTTAAAATTCTAACTCTCATCTTGGTGTCTACTTGTTTGCTGATCTGGAAAATACCGGCCAGTCCAACCCAGGCTTTCTCTGTGTGAATAGAGATAGGATACACTTAGCCAGTAAGATATCCCTGTACTGCCAAATTGTGTTTATTGACTCATCTCTGGCTCTTGATGTGCTTGTCTTTCTGATCACTGCATAACTCAAAAGAAGATGGTGTGCCATTTTATGTGTCCTTTGATATGGTAAGTGGCAGCCTTACCTATTTTTTGGAAGCGATGAGTAGAAATTATATGAGCTGAAATTTCCTATTCAACTTCACAACACTGTCCTCGGTTTGGCTTTTGAATAGTCTTCAGGAGACGTACGAAGCAAAAAGAAATGAATTTCTGGGAGAACTTCAGAAGAAAGAAGAAGAAATGAGGCAAATGTTTGTTATGAGAGTGAAGGAGAAAGAAGCTGAACTCAAAGAGGCAGAGAAAGAGGTAAGCCATCTGTCCTCCTTCAAGTGAGAGAAAAATAAGTAAGACGTGTTATTAATACTTCACATTATATAGAACTTCATGCTCTCCTAAGTACTTTCTACATATATTTTATCACATGAGCAGCTACCATGGTAAGAGAAGCAGGTCATGTATTATTCCCATTTTACAGATGATAAAACTGAGAGCCATAAAGCTTAAATGAGTTATGCAGTCACATACCTAGTAAGTAGCAGAGCTGAAACCAAAACTAGACCTTAGGTCTTCAGGCGTGGTCTCGTGTTCTCTGTAGCTCAATATCTCCTTAATTTATAAGTCTTGCAACATAAGAGCTGGGATTCTGGACTGTTATTACTATTATTGTCTTAGTCTGTGAGCCAACTCAGTGAGCTAAACAGTGGATGGGCCCTTTGGCACAACCTGATGGGTAATGGGTCTCCATATGCCCTATCTGTATATGCATCTTCTTCCTTTGTGGGCATGCTCTCCCTGCTCCAGCATCCTTTGACTCCTCTCATTGCCCGTGACCAGTCCAGATTAACTGCCTCCTAGAAGGTTATATGGGTTTCTGCATAACACTTATCTCATACGGAGAGCGTGAGAGGGGGAGGGAGGGAGAGTAATCTGTTTGTCTCTGATGGCAGATAATGAGTATCTCAAGTGCATGACCTATAGCTATATTCATTTCCAAATTGTCTAAATAATTTCTTCATCATTGTCTTTTCATTTATCTTTATAAAGGCCACTGAAATTTAGAGGTTATTTAAATAGCTAAGCACTCAGTATAGTTTTGCTACAGAGAAAGGAAAGTTGAGCCTTATTTGTTGTTGATTATAAATACCAAGTGGATGCTGGATGGAAATCTAGAATTATCTAGTAAGAGTTATTCCCTTCATTCTTTCTTCCCTTCCTCCCTCCTTCCCTCCCTCCCTCCCTCCCTCCCTCCCTCCCTCCCTCCCTCCCTTCCTTCCTGCTTTTGTTTCTGCCTTGTGATAATTTTCTGAATTTGGTTTGTCAAGAAATTTGCCAGAAATCTCCCAACATATTCTTATTATTTGAACACCATACATCATCTGTGGTCACTGTGTATGTCTCTAAGTAAATGTATATTACACATTTTGAAAAAGGACCAGAAATAAAGAACTACCATTACCACTTGGGTAATTTCTGTTAGGAGCATGGATAATTTTTATTTTCTTCCTTATGCTTTTTACAATGAATATGTATTTTATTATCAGTAAAAATGAACAGAATTCCCTTTAATGAGTGCCACAGGCTCCAAATCTCAAAGGCTCATAGGGCTCCGAGGGGTGATCTTTGCCCTCTCAGCCTGGCTCCTCCAGGAGTGCCAGACGGTGCTTCCCTCGTGGGATTAAAGCATGTGCAGGAACACGAGGCATGTTTGGGGTTTGAACAGATGCAGAAGATCTTCAGCTGTAACTTTCCACTCCCCTCACCAAACTTGGCCTCCTCTTTTCCTCTCCAGCTCCATGAGAAGTTTGACCTCCTAAAGCGGACACACCAAGAAGAGAAGAAGAAAGTGGAAGACAAGAAGAAGGAGCTGGAGGAGGAGGTGAACAACTTCCAGAAGAAGAAGGCAGCGGCTCAGCTCCTGCAGTCCCAGGCACAGCAGTCTGGGGCCCAGCAAACCAAGAAAGACAAGGATAAGAAAAAGTAAGCGGGTGTCCCCCCCCATGCATTGGGGCCCTCTAACCATTGATTCCTCTTGCATGTTTCTACTTTTTCCCATTTACAGACTGGAAACTGGTCTGTTACCAGAAAGATAAATGCAAGTCTTTTCTCTACAGTGCAGGGAAGATGATACAGGTTTTTAAAGTATTTGTAAAGGGTACAGAAATATTAATTTATAAAACTTGACCACATGACCAAGCAATCAGGGCTGGAGGAACCTGCTGTCTCCGGTGGCATCTTCTGCACCAACACTAGGACTCTTGAGAAGACAGTCCATATCTCTTCACTACTCCCTGGAGACAATCCTCATGACTCTTGATAAAGGGCATCCTAAAATGATGATTGTTAAAATTTTTCTATCCTGTGTCGTGAGGCTTGATAAGCCGGTCACCGAAAACCTTGTTTCCGAAATGGAAGATCGGGACGAACCGCTAGTGGCCACAAGTTTTCCCTTAAATTCAATAAGATGGTGAATTGTTTTATTGTGGAAATGGGATCAAAATACCCTTCCAGTTAAGACACCCTCACCAATCCTCAAAACACACCTATCTCCATACGAAAAAAAAAAATTTTTTTTTTTTTTAAATATGGCTTTGATTTAATGTGCCAAAGGGTCAGATTCTGCTCTTAAAGTAGTCACTTCCTGTAATACTCCAATAGTGGCTGCCTGAATCCAGTGGGAGACTTGGGCCTGCCTTGAAATTCTCTCATGATTTGAAGCTCTACATCAAACACCTTAACGACTAGAGAGTGCGGTTTTATGACAATCGCTACTGGATTGACAATAAGCACAGTGGTCAGTACAGTACCTTCTAGGAAATCTTTTGTGGTGGCTGGATGGCGAACCCACAGATACTGCCCTGCTTGGTCTAACACACGGTGCTCCTAGGGCAGCGATAAGGCAGCCCTGAATGTGTTTCAGGATTCTTGCTCTTTATCCTTAGATGCCGAGATTCTAGGGGAAAAGCGGACAATTAAGTAAACGATAAAAATGTTGGTACTTGGGTAGGCAAAGAATTAAATTTTAACAAATAGAGCAGATAGGATTGAATCTGCTCAGTAATTGACACCTATCATGGGGGACTGGGCACAGTGGTGGTGTCCTTAGTCTTGGTGAGCATGCAGACTCACCCCTGAGGGACCTCATTACACTGCCTGTGGCAGAAAGCACAATAGACTTCTACAGTGATACACGGAGAGAGTTTTAAATTATGCCTTTGACTTTCCAAGCTCTGAGACAGCAGAAAATGTGTCAAGAGAGCAAAGAAATAAGCATGTTTTCTAAACAATAGAAAGTAGCTGGTGTAGATGTGGTGTGATTTCTATGGGGTTGGTGCAGACCCAAGTGTTCAAGGCCTCCCAAGGGCTGATACTTTACTTATGCTGGATTAATTCTGGGAGTAACAATTGCCTAGATTCTAATCCAGTTCAAGAAAGTGCCTTGTGCTGTGCTTGTTGGGAGAGTATCAGTCACTCATGGTGACGTTCCCCATGCAGAGATTCAGAGATGAAATGAAAGTCATTTGGCACTATCTATACACTTGTTGATCCTAACTAACCCAAGATAAAAATGAGAGAGAGAGAGAGAGAGAGAGAGAGAGAGAGAGAGAGAGAGAGAGTGTGTGTGTGTGTGTGTGTGTGTGTGTGTGTGTGTGTGTGTAAATGACCACATCCATAGGCATGGATGAAACAAAAAACCTGCTGACTCACAGCTTAGGAAACCCAAAGTCAAGTTTTTCTTACCCTTAAGCACTAATGTGCATAAAGGTACATGTTTCAGAACTAAAAATGTTTTTAAAAGACCAGCAGTGTTCCAAGGGTATTTCACGAACGCTGGATGTGCCTTTAAGCAATACTAGTTCCAAGAGCGGATCCGTACTGTGCCTCCATTAAAAAAAGGTCTCTCCAGTAATAGACTTCCCAGCGTAGGGAGGTTTTTCCTTGCCCTTTTGATCATTTTAGGTTATTTTCACCCCAGCCTTGGGCCTTAGTTGTGTATAATGCTTTTCAAGTTTACATGAAGTATGTGCAAATTCTGTTTTAGCCTTATTTATACATTCTTGTGTATCATTAATAGAATTAGACTTCATTTGGTGTGCAGTAGTGACCAGGTTTTGTACCTGATGATGGCACCTACGTGTTGGCAGGTTCTTAACCTTTTCTACAACTTTCCCATTTGAGCACAGAAAGCAACTGCAAGTTGGAGGCCTGAAGTATAAAAGTTAACCACCCCTCTCCCGCCCCCGCCACCCCTTCCAGCCAGGGGAGAGTTCTGGTTAGAGAGGACCACAGAAAGACAGTCACCAGGGTAACCAGAGCAGCTCTTTGAAAATAAATGGGAGACTCCTGTCTCCTCGTGTAGCTGGAAGAGATGCTGGAGTCACCATACATGCCACTTAGGGGCTGGCTCTGTTTCAGGGAGACAATTTTTACGAAAGAGACGCTTATTTATTCACCTGGTATGCTTCCACCTCGGAAATTAGTTTTTCTAATAGTTTTAAATTCTGTTTTTTCTATTCTAATGACACGCTCCCTTTATAACGTAGGTAAGGCTTTATGCTTCTACTTGAGCTGTAGTGGCATGAGAGCATATAACCTTCCCTAAGATTACAGACAAAGTAGAGCTAGCTAACCCTGGCACTGCCTTTAGCCGGACCCCACCTCCTGCCCTTTCTGGCCACCAAGGCACTTCCCTTGTTTGCGGCTATGCCGCAGTGGTGCAAGTACCGGAGGGTAAGTTGTTCAGTGGACAGCATTCTTTTCTGAAACTTTGCACAATTGCCAGTGGGCGTTGGTGGTGACGTTTCATCCATTCCAAAAGGAAGTTTTAAAATCCATCATTTTAAAACTGTACCTGGCATCTGATAACCATGGTTTTATACAGTCATCCACTCATCTTTAAAAAAAAAAAAAACTTTTTTTTTTTTTCTATTCACTAAGAATGAAGTTGCATGTTTCAGACTTGCCTAAAATTAGATGTGCGGATCTCGGGTTTGGTTTTGCGTTGTACCTAAACGCGGGGGAAGGCTCCTGGCACCTGCTGTAGCTGTAGCCACACGATGCTCATCCTGTTTTCCCTTTCCAAGTAGATTAATAGCATGACCACTCACTGTATCCCAGTCCCCAAGTTCATCTTTTGAAGACATTATTGTAGATTTATTCTCTGACTCCAGCCGCTCAGTAATGGGAAGGTGTTGCTCCTATTCAGTACCAATGTGATGACCAAACCTAATAGATTGTGATTTATGTTATTTGAGAAAATGAAAATCAAATAGCAAATCCTTCCACTGTCACATGTAGTGGTTTCAAGAAGTCACTCGTAAATTACATGCAAACGGAAACTAACCATGTGTTAATTCAGTATTAAAATTTTGCTTTTGCTTGTCGTGTAGACTAGCTTACTCAAATTTGTGGTTTTAATTTCTGTCGATTCCATAATCATTGCATGAGCATTCACCATCACCGAATGCTGGTGCTGGCACTCCTAATTTTCCTTTCTTTTTTATTTATTATTATTTCTAACTTTTTTGTTTTGTTTTTTAACTTGCAGTGCAAGCTTCACATAAAGCCTGGCAAGCCAAGGATGGTCCCGCATTCACCTGCTTTTGCAGTAATATTGTATCTCTGCCATCTGTGTCCTTTTGTTTTATTTTATTTTTTTACCCTTCCCCAGACACCAATAACTATTAACTCATTTTGCTGAATGTTGTTGGGTAGTGGAAAATGATAGAACAAGAGAATAACACCAAAAGCTCTGTGCAGCTGGACTTTGTTTCTGGAAAGTAAATGATTTGCCTTTTATGCCTGTTCAGAGCGGCAGCAGGAAGCATGCCTGTTGCTTGTATGTTGCTTTGGACCGAGGGACGGAGGGTCAATGGCTCCATGTACGTCTGTCAGGAGAACTTCTCATCGTCTCAGCAGCTGAACCATAACCCTGAATAGCCATGACAACAACTTGGCTTTTCTTGATTTCTCATCTCCATGGTGGCAGAAGCCCTGAACTCACTCTGCCTCTTCTCCACACGTGCCCCAACCAGGGTAGCTTTGTATGTAGGTAGAACGGTGGGTCAGCTTTTTAGGACCTATGCATTTGCATGGATATTCATTATTATAATTTTATTTGACCCATGTTGTGGGTCTCTTCACACTGTCCCCTCATACGTCTTTCAAAATATGTCTGAACCCCTATCTCTCAAATCCTGGACAAGTTGGACTGTAATGAGAGAACTGCTGATGGTCTCTTTTATCAGCACAACCTGATCCTCTCACAGTTAGTGATCTCCAAGGTCAGGTCGTATAACATTGCCTAGTAGAAGAATCCCCTACTAAGGATGATGGGTTTCCCACAACCTCCCTTCCACTTACAATGAGCACTCTTTCACGCTCTCCGTGGTCAATGACCGATTCTAGGATATCCGTACTTCTAATAATACTTTTCAGTCATGAGGAGAAAATTTTCAGAAATGCTTCAAATAGAAAATTTGTTATAAACTGTATATCATCTGCAGCACAAATTATGAGGGGATCGCATCAATTTAAGGTAGAAATGGGAAGGGGGGCACGCCTGGGTGGCTCAGTCAGTCAAGCATCGGACTTTGGCTCAGGTCACAGTCTCACGGTTCATGAGTTCAAGCCCCGCATCGGGCTCTCTGCTGTCACCACAGTCTGCTTCAGATCCTCTCTCAGTGCCCTTCTCTCTCTGCCCCTCCCCCTGTTTACACACACACTCTCTGTCTTCCTTTCTCAAAAATAAAAAAATAAAACATTAAGAAGGAAATGGGAAGGAACTTGACACAAAGCCATGAGTGAAGAAGGTAGAAATTCAACTGCACATCTAGCTTCTGTGCATGGTCTCCTTTCCATATTTGGCGATAACGGGAAGGAGAACTAGAGCAGCTGGTCTTTCATATCCAGTTGTCTTGAAGGAGTTTCTTCATTTTGTCCTCACCATGACTAGCTCCACCTGCTCTCTGTGTCCCAGCCCATCACCCTGTCATTGAGAATCAGGGCCAACCCACAGGCCATGACACAGACCACGGAAAGGGGTATATTGACTCTCCTTTCGGTTCTGTTCCTTTGTGAGGCTTATCCCTTCATCTTCTTGATTTCTTTTCCCCCTCCATTAACAAGATCTTCCCAACTTCTAACTCAATACTCTGCTGTTCCTTACTTAAAAGAGTATTCTTTCTCACGAACCTGATGCTCCAGCTCTGTGCTTCCTCCCAGCCTTCACTAGTCAGACATTAGGTAAATAGGATAGAAGACACTGTACCTTCCCTGACACACACATGCAATCCACCCCCCCCCCCTTTTTTTAAATAAGTCTCTAGTTGATTCCAAAAAAGTTTCTTTTTTTTCCTTCTCTTCATTCTCAATCATACTTTTAGGGGAAAGAAGTTATGGTCTTCCATGAACTGAGTTAGGCTTAAGTAGGCAAAGTAAAAGTTCAGTTTCACTGGAGCCCAAACTAAGCTGGGCTAGAAACTGCAAACTAGAATCAGCAATGGTGGTATAAAGACTGATTGAGGAGGTACTGGACTAATGTTTTTGTTTTGTTTTCTTGAATGATTCTAGTCCAAAGCTAGTTGTGGAGCAGCCAAATACTAGATGGCATGCCGATTCTAACCATGGCTAAATTTGCTCATGTGCTGTGCACCAGACAAAAGCTTGAATACTTGTGTTGTATGCTTGTTCCAACCGCTGCTTGTGTGAGCATTTTTGTGCCTTGTAACAGAAAATATACATGTAAATTCCAAAAATGGTCATTTTAAAATGACCATTTTTAATGCATCACTGAAACCTTTTCAAAAGTGAGCCTCGCTGTGAAAGGCATCCATCCAGCTGACTTTTTGATTCCAAGATTGTTGATTTTTTTTTTCCTCCCATGAAAATTTTCATGACAAAATGAATCATATGGAGAGTCAGGGAATAAAAAGTCAAAAGAAAGTTCTAGAAGCTTTTTTTTTTTAACATGTTGCTTCTGAACTCTTTTCTACTCCTGCTCCCCCACCCTGTTTGGTTTGTTATTGCTGCCCTTCTCTTCTTTCTGTATCTGTGCCTTTTTTCACAGTAGTCCTTGGCTCTGCACGGAATAAATGATACCCTCAAATCTAATTGGATGTGCTTTCGCCTTTGCATGTAAGTACAGTAGTAAGAAAACTTTGAGATCTTTTGGATTTTTTTAAAATTAGAGAAACAAACGGGATAGGTGAATTTTTTTTTTTTTTCCTTTTTTGGAGGGAGGTATAGGGAGGTAATGGTTTGAGTAGCCTTTGCTTACAAAAAAAAAAAAAAAAACTATATATTTAAAATAACCACATTTGTACCTTTTCCACAAGAAATATAAATTCAGTTTTTTCTTGATACCAGTATGGAGGTCAGAAATTATTGTTCCCAGCTGTGTTCTACACAGCATTGTGGGCATCGCTGGAGATTAGAGGGTCCTTGGTTCTGACTATGTAAATAAAGGTAGAATAAGAAACTACCACCTTCCATTGGAGAAAATCAAGAGGAAAATGTTTTTTATGCCAAGCTGCTTTTATGACTGCTTAATTTTTTTGATGATCTTGATTTAATGGTCTTTCCCTTATGCTAACTGCTAGCAGTGAACACACCTGTTGTTTTGTTTTTTTGCCAGATCTAGCTGGCCTCTCTCCAAATCTTTTGTTCAACCATAATGACCATTGCTTCTGGACTTTAGATACTCGTAACAGTTGTACATGCAGTAGAATGTGATGGAGAAGCATTTGGGGAATTTATTGGCAGTTAGAGACTATGTTTTCCCAACCTAGGCTCCTTCTTAACTGGTCAAAGTTTTGTCCAGAAAGGGCATCTCAACCAGGGGAACATTTAATGTCACACTGAGCACACGTTCTTTATTACCTTCCTTCTCTGCTTTGGAATCTCACCAGCAATAACACTTAGTCTTCATATCTTGTGCACCTCAAACAAATGGACTGGGTTTCTTTACTTTCTTGACATATCCATTAGTGTGTCACATATAGACTGTTGAATCTTGGTTTCAGCTGTTATCAACCCATGTCATACTGTCTCTGTGTGGTCCTTCCAAACCGTCCTTTCAGATCCCTTTGCTTTGCCATTTGCAAGTGTCTGAAATCGTCAAGTCTCAGCTTCCAGAAGTCTTGGTTCCATTGACAGGATACATATGTGATGACTCTTTAGTGGAAATTATGACCTACAAAGTCTAGATTGTATGTAGGTATGAAGGGAATTTTTTAAATAAATTGAAAAGCTGTGAACAGCATTAGAACTTTGTCTATTTCTTAATTTTAAAATATGCTGATATGCCTTAAACTGTAGTTGTAGAACACTGTCATTTTGCTGTTTGAAAATAACCAATGTGTTTCTAAAAAAAAAGTGTTGTGTAATCTACTTTCAGTGTTAATGCAGAATTGTCATATATGTAAGCTGCATGTTAGACACTCGTCCTTTTTAAAAACTAAAATAATTGTATCGATATGAACTATATCATTTTTTTCAAGTAAGAAAGTAATCACTTAGCAAACATGCTCGGTAATTTGGTGTCTGTTAAGGTAGGAGAGTGGTGGACAGGTAATCTATGCATATATCACTAGTGCCAAGACATAAAAGTGGGGGAAAATATATTTTTACCCAAACAATGTGTGCCCTTTTGTGAGTTCTTTTTAGTCAGTGTTTGGTATGCATATGTACACATGGTTATTATGTTGGGCAAAAGAAGTAGGGATGAAAGAGTCTCCTGCTTTCCTGCCTTGTCTGGTGGATTTCAAATGCTACCATCTGCACGGCTCCAGCTCCTCCCAGATACTTGCCATGTGGCATCCTGTATTTCACATATGGTCTCTGCTACCCTTTCTCCCCCATTCCCATTCCCTTCTGTCCTGATTGGTGTTCCTGGCACCGCACCGCCTCCGGGCCAAGCCGAGTTCTCCTCTTCTTCCCTGGCCTCTGGTGCTACCGCTGCTGGGCTGCTCAGCCCCAGCTGTGCTCCGGGAAGTCATCCCTGTAACTGATACACTGCTGTTCTTTCACAGTTGTAGAAAAGCCCCTCCTTTTTTTTTTTTTATTTTTTAAGACTTTAAGAATCAAATTTGAATCTGAATCTTTCTTTTTTCTCTTCTGTAGCTTCTTCTTTATGTAACCATCCTGTTGACAAGCCCTACTCTCTCCTAATGGACATAGAGCATTAGAAGAGCAGGAGCTGTCTGTTCACACGTGTTGGGGAAGAGTTACCTCATTTCCACCATCGCCTCCTATTCTTTTAAAGTCTGGGTCAAATATTGCATTGCTGTTTGTACTTGTCAATGTCTGTTTACAAACCACTGCCCATAGTGGTTACTAAAGTGACTCATCACTACCAAAAACAGGAATACTCAATAGTACTTAAAAGGAAATTGAGTGAAAAAAAGAACTTGGGCCAAGACCCAAGATAGCCATGTGTTGGAATCCTCTTGCTTAGCTGTCATGTTCTTGAAGCTGCTGATCTGAGAACTCACGGACTGAAGACAGCGTGTACCCTACTCTGAGGTGGTCACCGCCTCCAGGGTCCGCAAACTTGATTTCATGTTAACTCCAGACCTCTCTGTCCCATGAGCAACATTCTGAACAGCCCCATCAGGACCCT